TTTAAACTATACATGAATGTGTTTTAAACATAACACTTTAGTTCTTTAGCAAAAGATAAACGTATTCAGAATTAATATGACTTAAGTTGATACATTTAAACATCGCTTAAAATCAATTTTTTATAGCAAATTTACAAATTAAAAGCAAGCATATTTTTGTTTTCAAATGAAATCCCATACAAATGCCCTAAATAATGTATTGAAATATTCATGTGTATAATTACCTCATAAGTTATGAGTCATAACTTCCAAGTAGCCCACATGAGATATCTTATATGGGTTTGTAAGACATGATTTGCGTGTGTAAATTTTGCGAAAATACCCATATGGGTTTTATGTTACAAATTTCTAAATGATAACGACATCGGAAATTTATCCATTATGTTTGAAATCAAATTGGAAATTACTTAAAGTGTGAAATATTTATAATCATATACAAAATCTTTTATGCTATACATATTTAAAAAAAATAAAATTTTATACTTTAAAAAGTATTACAAGTTTAATAGTATTACAATGCACGCATAGAAACAAAGACCTATCTTCCCAATTTGGCTAAGTTTTATTTGAATTTATTCCACGGCGATTAAACAGTTTTTTCCGCTTTTTTTTTTTGATTTGTTTTGCCGTCAGAACTCAATCTATTCTTTTGTTTTTGTCAAAAAACGATGCTTTTTATTTGAGTATTTATGAATACAAGTTTGTAAAACATTTAAACAATAAATGTAAAAAAAAACAACAACAGTTTCTTTATCATTTTAGGGTTTTATCGTTTATTTTTCCTGCAAACGAAAATAGCATCATTTGTTAACTTACTTCAATAACATAATTTCACTTGTTAATCAAATGTAAAAATATTAAACTAGATTACTTTTTAACTTCACATGAGTTGCTTTTTAAACATTTACACATTTGCACAGTTTAAATGTTTTTAAATAAAATCTACAAAAATGAAGAAGAAGTGATTGACCAACATTTTATAACAAATACATTGATAAAAGAAACTTTTTTCTTTTAAAATTTTAACCTAATTTGTTATTAATTTAAAATTTAATTGTAATTACAAATAACATTAGGTTTAAGATAAGGGATAATTTCACTAGGATTTTACATTAATACTATTACGGCACATTTGACTTAATAAAACACTTATATTAAACTAAAAGTAATGTAGAAAATAGGAGGACTAGACTTGAATAATGTTTTATACAAACATAGTTTGTTATTACTAAAGTAAGGTTAAACATAAATAGATGTTAAAATATTTCTTATTTAGAATTTAAAAAACACAAGCTGCAAGTTTTTTTTTTCTTGTTTGTTTAATCGCTGTTTACTAATACTTTTAATGTAAATTTATATTAAGAAACCATTTAATTTCTGAGTTAAAGTTCTTTCTTCAATTATTTATATATTATTCTATTTAAGTTTTGAATGTATTCATAATCTTTAGAAACTTTTTCTACAAATAAGTTTCACAATATTAAATTGAGTATAATGCTAGGTTAATACTATCTTTTAAGATCTAAACTTTATCAAAAAGCAATAATAAAAAAGAAACTTCTTTGAGATTATTTAGATTATTTTTAGAAAAAAGTATAACAATTAAACAGTTTTATTCTTTAATGGTTATACTTTTTTATATACTTTTCTAATACTGTTTATATGAACACTCTGACGTGATTGTTCATTAGAAAAGTCTAACTTTTTTTTAAGTTTCTGTTTCATTTGTTATTAAATTTGGTACTTTAATGTGAAATTTTTAAGTTTATTTACTCAATGAAATATGATGAATTTATTCGTTAACAGTTTCAAAAACTATTTTATTAACTGTGTAAATATAAAAATAGGAATCGTTTTCAAAAATAAATTAAGTTTGTTGCAAAGTTTAAATTTATACACTCTAGATATCCACGTTTTCAATAACATATATTTATTCAGTGAAATATTATACCTGTTTTCAATAATGTATTGAAAACAGGTATAATATTTCACTAAATAAATATATGTTTTGTTTATATAAATTTGCATAATAAAACAACAGTAAATAAACTTTTAAATAAAAAAACAGAGGTATTTTGTTTTTAAATTTTAAATAAAAAACAGAGGTATTTTGTTTCATGGTAACTTGTTTAAGCTGCGCTTTGAAACAAGTTACCATGGTACATGGTAACTTGTTTCAAAGCGCAGCTGCCTTCGTCAAGGTTTTTGCTTCTGAATTATAGAGTTGAGACGGGGTTTTAACCACAACTAAAGTAGTCTTATCATCTGTAGTGATCTCCTCGGGTCTTGGGGAAGTAAATAACATTAAAAAAAATATATAAAAAAATTTAACAGTATAGAATTTATAAGACAGTATAGAAATTATAGCATATAATAATGTTTTATAGAAAAAACTTTCACTGTTTTCAAAGGTATAAGTAGCGTTCATTCAATTAAACTAAATAAAAGGTTTAAAACGTCATTCCATTTTAGAGGTTAAAAAACAAAATACCTCTGTTTTTTATTTAAAATTTTATATACGTGACTGTTAAATCATTTTTATTATGCAAATTTATATAAACAAAACATATATTTATTCACTGAAATATTATACCTGTTTTCAATAACATGTCATTGTTGGTCTTAAAGTCTTACAAATATTTTTTTTGTTTAGTATTATACAAATTGTTTA